TTCATATATCATTCATGTATTATTCATCTATTAATTAATTCGTGAGAGAGTGGAGTGCACACTCTTGTTCCAACTACAGTAGAATCCCGCTGATCCCACCTTGGCTAGTCCGACTCCTCGCTTAATCAACCATCAACCTGTGCATCCCCTATCGGTGACCATGTTATTGCTGTATTGTGGCTATTTGACATGGCCGTGTGGAGATCATCACCTTCTCCTGCAATAGAGGCAGAAATCTTGTTTATCCCATGCGATCAAGGAAAAATGTATCGTCATTCTCTGCAGTCGTTGAAAAATCCTAGACAAATGTCTCAATCATGGAAAAAATCATCATTGTGTTCAGCAATCCCCGTAAAATTCTGAACATCCCGCGGTTGTAGACATCATCATCGTCGTCAGAAAACACAGCAAAATACTAAACATCTCTCGAACTCACAGAGATATCATCATTGTTTCCAGTAATTACGGAAACGTAATCGTTGTCTCTGAGATCTGTAAACTAAGTCCATGACAACCTGCAGAAATTGAATACAAGGAATACAAGGAAGTGCATATCCACAATACTAGATGCAAAACAAAGATTAACATTCCTTTCTGCAGGATTAGTAAGACTAAGGACGTCTTCCCAATGATGGCTCTGAAGCCTAATGTAATAAGCTGCCTGATAGGATCAAACTTCTCGATGGAAATAAGTTTGCTTTAAACCTAAAGAGCCTCATGAAAGGAAAGCCCTACTACAAGCTTAGTGAATTTTTTTACGATGATTTCGGTGTCCCAAGACCATTGTCCACGCTAGGGGTCCCCAACCTTTTTTACTCAAGGGCCACATTGACAATTTTTGGAGGAAAGGCCGGACCGTTAACATTTCAGTGCAATGAAATTAAATGAAATGATATCAACTTTATTCATAATTTGCAAACATGTGCACGAATGGTGTCATTACAGTAGATCAAAATCATAATGCTTAATCCTAAAAAAGTACAAGATATAATGACTATTGAAAATTTTCTTATTCTAATATATTATTATGTAGAAGGAAATATTCATTCTTTGAGTACAGGGATTTAGTTAAAAACTACATTTTTAGATTATTTTTAAATTTGGTAGTTTTTTGTATAGGTAGTCCTTTAATTTTGTTGGAAGAGCATTGTAACATTTTATACCATACATTGGGGTTTTTTTTAAATCTTAACACATTGAGCACTAAAGGCCCTAACAGGGCTTATATGCATATATTCTGGGCATTTTTTTATAATTAAAACATTTTTAACTTTATAGTTTCATTAAAAACACCACAATCCATACATCATTTTAAAGAGGAAATCAAGAGCTTTAAGAAAATATAATATGCTATAGGGTAATTAAAAAAAAACTTCAACAGAAAGAGTTCATATAAAATTGACCCCAATGTTTTTATTTGTTTTTTATGCATACATTAATATGTTAATTTGATCCTTATTACCAAATAAAATTTAAAAAATTAATTTTAAAGGAAATAATTGATATACCGTACATTATTATATGTTATATACCGTACATATGGTCGCCATTTCAGAATAAAGTATTAAAGCATAATATATAATTATATACAGGTTGAATAAAAAGTCAAGACCCCCCCCCCTCTAATATTTTTCCAAGTAAATATACAGAGATATGCTTTTGGTAGTCGTGCAATCTTAGCAGAAGATTGAAATTTTTGAGTGTCCCCCCAAAAGGAGAGATTTGGGGGGCAACTCAAATATTTTAAATGTAAACCCCCTTCAAGTGACACCTCATTTTGAAGTGTTTACAAAGACTTACAGAATGGTGAAATTATAAATCGCTATCTCTTCTCTGTCCAAAATGGTATCCCGTCAAATGTTGTGGAAAATCAATGGTAAAATTGGTTTGTAATGGTAATATTGGCTACCATTTTGGATAGAGAAGAGATAGCAAACTCTGGTTTTCACCAATCTTTAAGTTTTTGTAAACACTTCAAAATACATGGTTGTTTTTGAAGATGAAGTGGATACAATAAAGTGAGTTATGATTGGACACTCTGCATCATACTCTGATTCAATTTTAGATTTTAAACGTAAGATGAAATCTTAATGTGTTAATCCTCTCCATAGGGGTCTTTTAGCTGTTTTCTGTTCATAAGAAACAATGTTCACATCAGCTCCTGCGGATTTCTGGAATTTCACTATGTGTCTTGCAAACAAGATCTATGTGGGTGAACAAGATCTCTTACACATCCAATTGCTGAACAGAATAAGGTCTTTAATCCCTGGGCTTTGAAGTGATCCTGGAGTTTCTTGAAAGCTATGCTATAGTCCTCTGGAGTCGGCTTGTCAAAATATGCTGCTTTTGTTATTCAAAACTATAAATTTTTGATCCACCTGTAATACTCTGACAAGCTAGATGTTTTGAAATGTGATCAGCAAGTAGGGGTTGTCTAAACTGTTTACGGAAAACAACTGCCACTCCCGCCGACATATGTCTGTCTTCTGATGGAGTGAGCGAAACCAACTGATTCGTCAGTTCTGAACTGATCTATAACATTATTCATATCAGTATTGAAAATTTTGATTTTACTGTTGAGTGTTTGTTGTGGAGATGGAACTGGCTTGGTTGTCTGCACTGTAATTTCTTCTATTATATTGGCAATTTTCAGTTTAGTTTAGTTTTGTAGATAGGAACCCACAACTCCAAATAACCCACAAAGCGGTATTTTTGTAATTAAGAGCTCAGCGATGAAGTTTGAACATTTCTTGCTGATTTTTTGTTGTTATATGTTGACTAACTAAATGTTGTACATTTTTGTACAAATAATACTGTGACCAAACAAAATAATTGACCTATCTCACATAATTATTTATGGGTATATAAACTGTGTTTGTCATATTTATACTTTATCATAACATAAATGGCTTATGATCATTTAATTTCACTAGAAAGTGAATATAAATTAATTTTACAGTAAGTTACCTATATTTACCATGATATTAGTACTTGTTCTGTAATGGAAGTTTTGAAGAGGACTGATGAAAAACAGGATGACACAACTAGGTACTAGTAAGTTTACTTAATTAAACATTTAATTATAATGACGATAAGAATAATTGACAAGGAGTTTACAATGAGTGTGAAGCTAAAATCAACAGCAATTTTAGGAAAAATTTTGTATTTGCCACTTTAAGGTCAGCTAAATTTAGGGTAAAAGTTTCTTGCCCTGATACTTAAGATTGTTTTCAATTCAACGGTTCACTTAGCTTGGAAGATATATCAATATTAAACATATTTTGCAAGTATTTTTTATAAACCTAACAACTACACTGAACTAAATTACTAAAAACATTGAATTTACGATTCACAACGGACATCACAAAACGACTATGAGTTGACGTAAGAGTTTGAGCTTTGAGGTTAGAAAAAAGCAAGTGTAGGGGCGAATACGCAGTGTGTGTGTGTCTCGGACTTGCAGTATTGCCAACATGTCACATGCCAGACGTAAAAGTAGTAACAGTACGAGTTGTATATTAAATAACTGTAGTTATTTTATGAATGAAACGAAAGTTATAGATTGCCCTTTTTTAGAATAGTCATTGTCATTGGCTACATGTTTACGAGTTTCCCATGAAATATTCGTTTGCGGTTTGCCAATAACGTTGTTAAATATTTTACTTTCCAAAGCCGCCCGCGGCGCACCGCTCGCCCCGCCCTCGGGGCGGCCCTGGGGTTGTTGCAGCAACTTTGACGATCATCGATTTATACCAATTAAATAATTATTTCCCAGTAAGCCTGGATGAAATCTGTTGTCGCGGGCTGGATGTGGCTGCGGGCCATAGGTTGGAGACCCCTGGTCCATGCCATCTGTAGGACACAAATAACCTAATTCCATCTTGGATGTTTTGTACATACGTTTATTATAATAACACAGCTTATTATATCAGTACAAACTGGTCTCAAGCATAGGAGGAGGTAATCAGGTAAAACTTTTGAATATATCCTGTGGTAAAGTAAAATCATCCTTGTCTTCCGCGGCGATAGTGGCAAAATATTTAAGTCTCCTGCGGCCACGTAACATTATCATAGTCTTCCACGCTCGGATGTAATCAATAAAATATCATTAAGCAATAATTATGGTAATTTAATATGCTCCTCAGATGATCCGACCTTTCCACTGTTCTGGCCATGTTCTGTTCATCCCATAGGTGACAGATTTGTGGGGTTTTACTGTAATTTAAATTATATCAAATAAGTCCCCATCAAAGTTTTTTGGGGTTGGTTTCAATTGTAAAGCAGTAAAATTATTGTAAAGCAAGATATAAGAAGTATTTTTCAAAAGACTAATTGATAAACTAATTGGTTATAAATGTGCATATAATACTTATCTAGTTACACTCTAGTTATATCTAGTTGTATCCTAGTAATTTTATTGATACAAAAATGGAATCACGTAGAATTGTTATAAAAATAGATAATCAATAATAAATTACAAATAAAATCTGATAGTTTATATTTTTTATTAAGAAAGATGAATAACAAATTGAATACGGTAATCAGAATAGCTACATTTTTCCCCCAACAAAAGATTGATGATTTAATTTTACATTATTAATCGTATGTATTGACACAGAAAACGTACTACTATAACCCAGAATGCCAACCGCATGGTAAAAAGCATTAAGCGGTTTGAGAGAGCTTTGCCTGTCAATCCGTAGGCAGCGCCACCAGCGTTGCCATACACTTAATGCTTTTTACCATGCGGTTGGCATTCTGGGTTATAGTAGTACGTTTTCTGTGGTATTGATTAAATTTTTTAATCACACAGGTGAACTACAGCATACATTTAAAAACCTTTATCCGAAACTGAAAGTGTATTTGAAGTATTAAAAATGTTTCGACCCTTAAAAAATAAATAACTTTTCATAAGAGCTAAGGAAATTTATTGAAAATTTGATAATTAAAAAAAATTGTTTTTAGTACTTCTGGGTAACAAAATTGCTAAATTTTCTTAGGCATACCTGGAATGGAAAAAGAAAGCAGATAAAGAATGGTTTGCTAGAACGAAAAGGATTGAAAATAAAGTCAAGGATCTTGAAAAGGAGGAAGAAAGACAAATGATAGAAAAAAAGAAATGTGCCGAAATAGCTTATAAGGGATGGCTAGAGTCAAAGGAAAAAGAATTGAAGAAGAGGCTGAAAGATGCTAGGTAAAAATATTTTTTTTAAGAATGGAATATTAGATCTGACATCACTCTTGTAGTTAGTAGCAGTGCTTGGTTTGTAAAATTCAAGGTATGGAACTCAGAGAGTTATAACTTCTCTTCTCTCAGCCAATTCTCTCATTCCCTCCTCCCATAACAAATGGTTTTAGCTCAAAAACAGTGAAACGATACAAAGCATCGACATTAACGAGAATTGTTGCTAAGTTAAGGTCTGCACCAGGCTTTTGGCTACAATCAATCAACCTAGTTCAAATCTGACACAAATCTGTGTTTTTACTTCTGCCACTAATACTCTAAATGCTGGTCCTTACAATTTGGTTTTAATGGACAATAATGGTGTAAGGAAGGGGAAATTCATGTTTCATCCAATTGTGTTGCGTTTTGTGATTTGGAGGTTAAATCCTATTGAAATCCATTAGCCGTTGAGACCATTTAGCATGAATGGTCTTATTAGCATGAAGACCTTTAGAGGTTTTAGGACAGAAAATGTGCGTAAGGGGTAAGGGAGTTGGGAGAGGTCATAACCACTTGCACAATGTTTCCCACCTTTTATCCAAGCTGAAATTGTTTATCAGTTTCGTATGGAGCAGACAATTTTGCATGTGGAATGCAGTTTGACTGAAGGAGAGATCACCTAACTTATAAGAGGCGTCCCTAAAATTACCAAGGGCAACGGTAAACTCTTGTGGTCTTGGTAACACAATAGTCAATAAAAATTATTTTTATGGATTCTAAAAATAACACCCCCTTATGGCCTTATGATAAGGACTGGCTAAAAAACATTGGGAAAGGTAAAAAGAAGAAAAAAACAGTGCTGATGTTAGATTTTAACTAGCTTTATACATTGCAACTGGAGCTCAATTTCTGATCAAGATTACTAACACCTATCCTGAAACCCAACGTTTAGTCTCAGATGAGATCATAGCTTATATCCTTTTTAAAATATCTTTGCATTTCAATATAACCTATCAGCAATTTGATCAGAATATTTTAATTTTCGTGAGAGTACAGTAGAGTCCCGCAAACCTTTTGCGTAATGTGGACTGGAAGGGTGCCGAGTTTGTGAAATGCCAGGTTATCGGGAACTAGAGTTAAAAATAAGGACATTAAAATTTTTAAGCGTTTTAACCTTCCTTTTTAGCGAATTTCCCTATAGGGAAGTAGCTATTACCGTAGGTGGCACGGTAAGACCTAGACCCGGGACCGATTTACTTTTTCATTTTGATGTCCCCAGAGGCCAAAAACACCATTCGTTAAAATTTTTATATATGTATATATATATAGACTTATATATATATATATACGTCCGTGAACGCGATAACTTGAGTAATTTTTGTCCGATTTTGATGAAATTTGGTTTAAAGGTGTAAAGCGGGATAAACTTGAATGAGATCGCGAACCAGCACGATCGGACCATGGGAACGGGGCTTTACGGGGGGTTTTATGGGGTAAAAATTGGTTTTTCTCCCTTTTGACCCTCAAAACACAAAATTTCCCGATTTCTCTTTAGACCTTTTTAAAGAGCTTAAAAAAACAAATAATTTAGTATATAAAAGTATTTTTGTTCGATTATTAGTAATGGAGAAAATTAAAAAAATTTTAAATTTAAAATTCCCATGTTATTCTTATGGAGAATATTGTCAAATGTTGTAGTTTGCTTGTTTATGGATATATTTTGATCAAACTTGGCAAATTTATTTATTTTGTACTAAGCTATCAATATTTTACTCAAAAACACACTTTATTAGTTTCCTTGTAGCAGCAAACCTAGGTACTCGTTAAACCTAATGTTATTAAAATATATTTAACTGAAAATCAATTCAAACAAATGGAAATTCGCTTACTCGGCAGGTTTGCTGCGGCGGGGGTATTTTTATATTACAAGTCAGTATTAAGTCATCATATATAGTACAAAAAATCCTTGGTACGAGTTGTGAATGATTTTACTTGAGCTGGCTTGAGTCCATGTTTAACTTGGACTCAAAATATTACTAATTTTCTGAACCAGGTGATGGCCGAGTTATCCAGACTGCCGGGTTATCGAGTGCCAAGTTTGCGGGACTCTACTGTACCTATCTCAAATTTAAAATCTTTCAGCTCCTACTTTCAAAAAAAGATGTAAATAATTTGGTTCATTCAATTTTTAATATCTTAGTTCCTATACTACATCAACAAATTAAACACAAACAAACCACACACAAACTAACTTGAGTGTAAACTAACCAGATTCAAATGTCATTCTTTTTTAGTTTTTAGGATTTAGGTATCATTTCCATATATCTCAATGCTGCTGTCACATGTTCAGAGACATGTCTGGGAGGAATCACAAAGCTGTTTTTGCAGTGAGGCACACTTATCAGTCTGTTTACATCAAAGCAACTTCAAGGCACATGTTCCAGCAAAAATCCTATATCAACTATTCATGTTTTTAATGACTATGGGTGATTTGTTTTAGGCAAGCTCATTTAGAGGCTCAGAAGATGCGAGCTAGGAGACACAGTAACCGGGTGCAAGAGTCACAACAAGCATTCCTTGCTTGGCTTGATGTAGTGGAGAAGCGATTTTGTGATGAGATGGCAAAGAAACAAACCCATCAGCTGAGTCTAGCAGCCGAGGATTAAGGCTAATTAATTAACTGTGTTCATTTTTGTAGCTAAGGGTTAATAGACTTCTGTTTGATTAACAGACTGTATAATTTATCCTGACTGTACTTTTAAAAATTGTTTTAACTAGGGTAACACGGCCAAAGGAAAACTAGGGCAATGTTACCCTGATGATTGCTTTAGTTCTTGATTTGTAGCTCATGACCTACAGGTCCGTGTTAAGGGTCAGTGGCGCCCTGGGTAAACCCAAAAGCAGCGCCGCCCCCTTATATATATATAACTAAAAAGGTTTTGACCACAGCAGTGTAGGGAGGGGAAAAGGGAAAGGGGTTGTCACATAATTCCTTTCTATCTGTATATTGTAACATCTGTTCAAATGTTTAGAAGTTGTTTTTGTTTACTATGATGTTAGTTTTGTTTCATATTGTTAGTTCTGCTAGATTCTATGTTCAATGAAGCCAAACTAAAGGTAATTTAGTTTATTCATTCAATTTACAACAATTTATTGAACATAGAATATTTTATTAAAATATACATCTATCTTTTTTCATGGAACAAATTCTTAGACCTGAAAGATTTAATGTCAATCATAATGAAGTCAATGCAAGTCAAGATTGGGATCATTGGTATCATACTTTTGAAAACTTCATCGAAGCTAGTGAAATCAGTGAAGAATTGAGGCTTAAAGTATTAACCAATTTCATTTCACCATCCGTTTATGAATATGTAAATGACTGTGAAACATACAAACAAGCAATTGATGTGTTTAAAAAGTTGTACTTGAAACCTGTCAATGAAATTTACGCACGTCATAAACTAAGAATCAGAAGACAAGAGTCTGGGTAATTATATCGACCTCCGGACCTCAAGCGAAATTAAAAATTTTTTTTTTCCAAAATGTTCGAAATTTCACGCTGATTTCAAAAATGATTGTAGTTTTTTTCGGAAACGTCCCGTTTTCCCGGAAAATGGGAAAAACGGGAAAAATATTTTTTTCCTCAAAACCCATGTTGTGGGTACTCAAATTGTGCGGAATTTCCTCCTGAACAAGAATATGTAGTTTTTATAACGATCGCTTTTAAGTAAAACATCACCGGACAGGTTACCCAACCTAACATAACCTAACTTAGGTTTAGATTAGGTTAGGTTAGGATAGGTTAGTTTAGGTTAGGTTAGGTTAAGTTAGGTTAGGTTAGGTTGGTTTAGGTTAGGTTGAGTTTTGTTAGGTTAGGTTAGGTTAAGTTTGGTTAGGTTAGGTTAAGTTAGGTTAGGTTAGGTTAGGTTAGTTTAGGTTAGGTTAGGTTAGGTTAAGTTAAGTTAGGTTAGGTTGGTTTAGGTTAGGTTGAGTTTCGTTAGGTTAGGTAAGGTTAAGTTTGGTTAGGTTAGTTTGGTTAGGTTAGGTTAGTTTAGGTTAGTTTACTTACAATACTCATGTTATTGATAAACTAACCTAACCTAACTTAGGAACTTAGGTTAGGTTAGGATAGGTTAGTTTAGGTTAAGTTTGGTTAGGTTAGGTTGGTTTAAATTAGGTTGAGTTTCGTTAGGTTAGGTTAAGTTTGGTTAGGCTAGGTTGGTTTAGGTTAGGTTGAGTTTAGTTAGGTTAGGTTAAGTTTGGTTAGGTTAGGTTAAGTTAGGTTAAGTTAGGTTAGGTTAGGTTAGGTTAGTTTAGGTTAGGTTAGGTTAGGTTAAGTTAAGTTAGGTTAGGTTGGTTTAGGTTAGGTTGAGTTTCGTTAGGTTAGGTAAGGTTAAGTTTGGTTAGGTTAGTTTGGTTAGGTTAGGTTAGTTTAGGTTAGTTTACTTACAATACTCATGTTATTGATAAACTAACCTAACCTAACTTAGGAACTTAGGTTAGGTTAGGATAGGTTAGTTTAGGTTAAGTTTGGTTAGGTTAGGTTGGTTTAAATTAGGTTGAGTTTCGTTAGGTTAGGTTAGGTTAAGTTTGGTTAGGTTAGGTTGGTTTAGGTTAGGTTGAGTTTAGTTAGGTTAGGTTAAGTTTGGTTAGGTTAGGTTAAGATAGGTTAGGTTAGTTTAAGTTAGGTTGAGTTTTGTTAACCTTCGAATCTAATCCTGTTTAGATTAGGTTAGATTAGGTTAGGAAAGGTTAGTTTAGGTTAGGTTAACTTAGGTTAGGTTGGTTTAGGTTAGGTTGAGTTTCGTTAGGTTAGGTTAAGTTTGGTTAGGTTAGGTTAAGTTAGGTTAGGTTAGGTTAAGTTTGGTTAGGTTAGGTTAGTTTAGTGTAACCTAACTTAACCTAACCTAACTTAGGAACTTAGGTTAGGTTAGGTAAGTTTATCAATAACATGAGTATTGTAAGTAAACTAACCTAAACTAACCTAACCTAACCAAACTTAACCTAAACTAACCTATCCTAACCTAACCTAAGTTCCTAAGTTAGGTTAGGTTAGTTTATCAATAACATGAGTATTGTAAGTAAACTAACCTAACCTAACCTAACTTAACCTAACCTAACCAAACTTAACCTAACCTAACCTAACTTAACCTAACCTAACCTAAACTAACCTATCCTAACCAAACCTAATCTAAACCTAAGTTAGGTTATGTTAGGTTGGGTAACCTGTCCGGTGATGTTTTACTTAAAAGCGATCGTTATAAAAACTACATATTCTTGTTTCGGATGAAATTCCGCACAATTTGAGTACCTTCAACATGGGTTTCGAGCAAAGAAAAATTTCCCCGTTTTCCCGTTTTTCGGTGATATTTTACTTAATAGTGGTCCGATCGTAATAAAATTTACATATTCTTGTTCAGGAGGAAATTCCGCACAATTTGAGTACCCACAACATGGGTTTTGAGGAAAAAAATATTTTTCCCGTTTTTCCCATTTTCCGGGAAAACGGGACGTTTCCGAAAAGAACTACAATCATTTTTGAAATCAGCGTGAAATTTCGAACATTTTGGAAAAAAAATTTTTAATTTCGCGTGAGGTCCGGAGGTCGATATAATTACCGAGTCTGGTGAGAGCATTAATACTTACGTAGAATCTTTGAAGCGCCTTTCCAAAGATTATAACTTTAAAGCTGTCAATGCTGTATCAAGTAGTGATGAATACATCAGAGACACATTCATTGATGGCTTGTTAGTGCCTCATATTCGTCAATGGTGGTTGGAAAGCTCTACTTTGACTTTGGATGAAGCAGTTTCTCAAGCCAGATCACTCAAACTTGCTAAATATCACTCCGAACAGTAGAACTTAGACAAGTGCTTACCAACAATCAACGTTGCAGCCTCAAAACCTATCAGTGAAAAGAATCCATACTTGTCCAGTCCTGATCCAAGACCTTCTGCTGCCGAGCCAGAATCGTATCTATCTCAAGAAAATATAGTGTGTTCACTCAATCAGACATGTTACTTCTGCGGCTTTAAGAAACACAACAGAGCTGCTTGTCCAGCTAAAGAAGCTATATGCAGAGGATGCGCCATTAAAGGTCATTACCAAAAGGTATGTAGAAAATCCAAAACACCAACTTCTAAAGTAAAGGCATCAGTTCATCAGTCAAATTGTATTGCCTCAGTACCATCGTGTTTGAGTAAAGCTGTGTAGTCTCAGTACAATTAAATGGAGTCGATGCATACGCTCTTATAGATACTGGTAGTTTTATCAATCAAAGCTCAACAGATTCAACATCCCTGTCATTCCATGTAATGGGGGAGAGGTATCAATGGCTTCCACAACTCTGCGTTCTTCAATAAAAGTGTACTGCAAAATCAATCATAAATTGCAAGATCATATTTACAAGAATGTGGTCTTCAGCGTACTTACAAACTTATGTTCTGACATTATTATAGGGCATGACATTCTAAAAAAGACACTCAAGTTTACAAGTAAAATTTGGAGGAAAAGAGTCTTCTCTCAACATATGTAGTGTGGCTTTAGCTAATGTTGAGCCAGTAGAACTATTTGGTAATCTATCTCCAGATTGTAAGCCTATTGCAACAAAATCTCGAAGGCACTCAGTTTATTGAAATTGAAATTCAATTAGGCCTACTGTTAAAAGAGGGTATTTATTGAAGAAAGCAGGTCTCCATGGAGAGCACAAGTCCTTGTTGTTTCATCAGATACCCACAAACGGAGAATGGTTGTGGATTATTCACACACAATTAATCGTTTTACAGAACTTGACGCATTTCCACTCCCTAGGATTGATGATATAGTAAAAAAAGTGGCTTCGCATACAAGGTTTATAGTTCTATTGATCTTAAGAGTGCCTTTCACCAAATCCCAATAACAGAAAATGACAAACCTTACACGGCATTTGAAGCTTGCGGGAATTTGTACCAATTCACACGAGAGCCTTTTGGAGTTTGTAATGGTGCCCCTGCTTTTCAACGTACTTTAACCAACATAATCACTTTTGAAAAACTTGAAGGTGTTTAAGTCTATCTTGATGATATAACAATGTGTGGTAATGATCAGGCTGAACATGACAGGAAATTGAGCAATTTTATGAAAGCTGTTTCCAAATATAATCTTACTTTGAACAAACATAAATGCAAGTTTTCTACAACCATGATCCATCTATTACGTTATGTAATCAGTCATAAATCAATAAGACCAGATCCAGATCGTTTGCAACCACTTCGAGATCTTCCCATTCCAACCAACTCAAACTCTCTTCACAGAGCTCTTGGTATGTTCTCCCACTATTCACAATTCATTCCTAAGTTTTCTGAGAAGAGGGGTTGTTAACAGTTGAAACTGATGCATCAAATCATGCAATAGGAGCAGCTTTGACTATTGATGTAGATTAGACCAGTAGCGTTTTTCTCTAGAATGCTAACAAACTCGGAACAGAAACATTTATCTATTGAGAGAGAAGCATATGCAATAGTTGAAGCGTTAAGAAAATGGAGGCACTATCTCATAGGCAGACACTTTTGCCATATAACAGACCGATCTGTAGCATTCGATGTTCAGTGATCGGAATGCAAGCAAAATCAAGAATGATAAAATAATGAGATGGAGAATTGAGTTATCTTGTTATAAGTATGCGATTATTTACAGAGCTGGAATAGAGAACAAAACAGCAGATGCTTTATCCATGGTGTGTTCATC